CCCCAGTCTCTTTCTCTTCTTGGGTTCAAGGTACTTTTTTTTAACTTTTATTGCCAGGCCTCAGTTAGGAAGTCAACAATAGGTGCTACGTGCCATCTTGTCATGCAAATAAGACTTGTCAATGTCTATATTTAGAATATGTTCCATCTTAACTGTGTTCCATATAACCAGGCTAATGATATGTGTTGCAACTTGCTTCTGTGGAATTCAAAGTATGTGATAAATCTAATTCTACATTAGACATACCATATAAAAAGGATGTAGAATATTTAGAGCTGTCAATTTGAAGAGGACTTTAAGGTCATTGACTTAGTGTATTGAGTCTCCACAGAAACATGAACATACTCTGGTTTTTTTCTTGGTCAGGGTGGAATGCACGTCAATGGCGCACCTCCTCTGATGCAAGCTTCTATGCAGGGTGGAGTTCCAGCACCAGGGCAAATGCCAGCTGCTGTCACAGGACCTGGCCCTGGTTCCTTAGGTCCTGGAGGTAAGTTTAATTTAGAGTCTCCACCACTTCAGTACTTGCTAAAGTTTTGTCATAGCAACTGTCACAATGCAACCAAATTATTATGTGGTAATGGGATCCTGATACAAAATTAATACACAACTAGAAAGTATATATCCTAGATGGAGGAAATAGTTGATTTTTTGTATACAAATCTTTTTTTGTCTGATTATGATAACAGGGAAAGGGACAGTAAAGTGGAAGAACATAGTAAAACTTCCAAATTAACAAGGGAAAAAGATAGAATGAATGGAAATTAAATCAAGCCAGCAAAAAAATAGAGAAAAGGAAAGGACAATGTAAAGTAAGTAATAAACAGAATAAGATGAAGGAATAAAAACTAGTATAGTTGTTTTTCTGCTAAATGTGAATAGACCAAATTGTTCCATTATAAACCAGAGTCTATTAGATTAGGTTAAAAAGATCATGAAGAAAACAGACACAAAATACATGATCACATTTGTTATTATGTTAAACAGACATAAAATTGTATTTCAACAAACATAATCAGACCAAACAACAAAGGAGAAAAGAGAAATTTAAAAATTATACACATTCATTGAAAGTATGTAGATAGGCAGTTAATAGAGTATTGCTATTACACTTGTAACTTTTCATCATTTAACAATTATAACTAAAAAAAGTTGAGTGAAATAGCAATTCCCCATATGCAACACCTGTCTGAACACATAATATATTATCAATATTTAAAGTTTTTTATGCAACAGACTTGTTAATTTATCTAATCTAGGTTAGACTGATGACAACACTACTAATGGGGCATAATTTAGATCTGTATTCTGTTTTGTAGAGAAATCAGTCTAGAGAGCTAAGTTAATGAGGACTGGAAAAACAGACTTTTAGAGATATTTCAGCAAACTTAGCATTTTTATTTATCCACTTTATCCTAGTAGACTTAAGTTATCTTTCAGTAAAAGAAATGGATTCCATGCTTTATACATTTTTGAGTTATAGATGCGTAACTTACCTTAAAATATCACAAATTGTAATGTGATACTACTGCACATGACAAATATGCAACCCATGACATGAGGCTCATTAAATGAATTGAAAAACACTCAGACTTCTCTGTACCCTGGTCAATGAGACAAGTACACTGATCATACACTTAGATGTCACGGCAATGTCAAATTACTGTAAAAGTTTCTAAATTTCTGCTCTCCGTTTCTGTACTTATCTTGTGAACTAGTAACGTACAGTTTGTAGATCAGCACCTTCTGCGGACCATACTTTGCATAGCGTTATGCTTGTGGACAAAAAAATAAGAACACAAAGAAATTAAATAATAGGATCAATAAGCTTCATTTACTACATAGAGGCAGTCTTATATCTTTTGACTAGAGAATACACTCCCCACCGCTCTAATGACCATGGAACAGTTTTAATAGAAAGACCATGTACAGTACATAGCCATAAAGTAAAGCTTTAACAAATTCAAAAAAGTGGGGATTTTACAGACCATATTCTTTTTTTGTTTTTTGAGACAGAGTCTCACTCTGTTGCCCAAATTATAGTGCTGTGGCGTCAGCCTAGCTCACAGCAACCTCAAACTCCTGGGCTCAAGCAATCCTACTGCCTCAGCCTCCCGAGTAGCTGGGACTACAGACATGCGCCACCATGCCCGGCTAATTTTTTCTATATAGATTTTTAGTTAAATAATTTCTTTCTATTTTTAGTAGAGACGGGGTCTCGCTCTTGCTCAGGCTGGTCTCGAAGTCCTGACCTTGAGCGATCCACCCGCCTCGGCCTCCCAGAGTGCTAGGATTACAGGCGTGAGCCACCGCGCCCGGCCAGACCATATTCTTTTATTACAAGCTAATAAAATTAGAAGTAATTAAAAGGTGACTGAAAAGAATTTGAAAAATTAAGGAATATACTGTAGGTGATCCTTGAATTAAAGAGAAAATAAAAAGAAATTTATAAATTATCTAAAGGGAGTATGTATACTTCATTGAGAAAAGTATGGGAAATATTGTGAATGCAGTGCTTAAAGGAAAATGAATATCCTTAAATGCCTATATTAAAAAAATAAAGGAATTCTAAGTACTCATTGTAAGGAATTAGAAAACTAATAAACCAGAAGATACCAAGAGGGAGTTAATAAAGATAAAAGTAGAAAGTAAGTATAAAAGAAATTTAAATAATTAAACTTTCAAGTGATATTTTTTGTGAGTTTGTAGCATTTATACTTCTGAAGTTACTAAAACTGCTAGGCGCAGTGGCTCACACCTGTAATCCTAACACTTTGGGAGGCCAAGGCAGAAGGATTGCTTGAAGCCAGGAGTTTAAGACCAGCCCAAGCCACAGAACGAGACCCCATCTCTGAAAAAAATATTTAAAAAATTAAAACTTCACTAAGATTTTTAAGATACCCTATTCAGGCCAGGCACAGTGGCTCACGCCTATAATCCTAGCACTCTGGGTGGCCAAGGCGGGAGGATCACTTGAGCTCAGTAGTTCAAGAGCAGCCTGAGCAAGAGTGAGACCCTGTCTCTACTGAAAACAGAAAAATTAGCCGGGCATGGTGGCGCATGCCTGTAGTCCCAGCTACTCAGGAGATTGAGTCGGGAAGATCACTGGAACCCAGGAGTTTGAGGTTGCAGTGAGCTATGACGACGCCACTGCACTGTAGCCAGGACAACAGGGCGAGACTTTGCCTCAAAAAAAAAGAGAGAGAGAGATACCCTGTTCAAAGCTCTTTGACAGGGATGAGAAGGGGACAAACAACCTAGTAGAAAAGTTAGCAAAGAGGCCTGGTGCGGTGGCTTACGCCTGTAATCCTAGCACTCTGGGAGGCCGAGGCGGGAGGATTGCTTGAGCTCAGGAGTTCGAGACGAGCCTGAGTAAGAGCGAGACCCGGTCTCTACTATAAATAGAAAGAAATTAGCCAAACAACTAAAAAAATAGAAGAGGGTACGGTGGCGTGTGCCTGTAGTCCCAGCTACCCGGGAGGCTGAGGCAGGAGGATCGCCTGAGCCCAGGAGTTTGAGGTTGCTGTGAGCTAGGCTGATGCCACGGCACTCTAGCCCAGGCAACAGAGTGAGACTCTGTCTCAAAAAAAAAGGGGGGGGTTATCAAAGAAAATGAGTAGGCACTTCATAAAAGAATGATCCAAATGGCCAAGAAAAACAAATTCATTTACAATTAGGGGATTATAAATTAACAACAGGATTTTACTTTATTTAAACCTATCAGACTAGCAGAAATTTCAAAGAGAGATGATGCTTAATATTGCTGGGAAAAATGGTACTTATACATTGAGAAATGTGAAGTTTTTCAGCCTTTTAAGAAAGTAGTCTAACATTAAAAATTCATACATTTTGACCCACCGATTCCACTTCTGGGAATCTAGCACATACAAATAAAAGCACTGTTATGTTGATGATGTATAATGTATGATGTATAATGATGTATAATGTATAATTTCTCATTATGCCCATAATAGCTTCTGCCATTCCTTTCCTCAGGTCCTAAATTTTTGTATTGTTTTGGTGATTTGTTGGGATAGAATAAACACAGTAGAATGTTATGGCTAGAAGAGAGCTTTGAAATCATTTAGACCAGTGGTTTTCAAACTTTATGTTAAAGTCACCTGAAGAACTTACAAAATGCAGATAGCTAATCCCCACCCTCAGACTAATTCAGTAGGTGTGAGGTAGGACCCCAAGAATTTGCGGTTCTAACAAATTCCCTGATGGTACCATTGTTGCTTGTCTGGGGACCACATTCTTAGAACCACTGGTATAGACCAACTTTCTCACTTAACGACTGAGGAAGCCTGGGAATGCATTAATTTTATTAAGTCACTTGTTCAGAATCACAATTATTTAGTGGCAAGAGCAGGACTAGCACCCAGTTCTTTGGGTTCTTAATCCATAGCTCTGTGGTGCTTGGCATGTTAAATGGAATAGGGAGATGTGGTGTATACTTGCTATTTTAGGGAAGTATTAATGAACTGCAAATATTTAATAGATCAGCTTGTCTTTTCTCCCCACTCTTAGCATATATTGCTCCTTTGAGGAAAAGAGAACTATTGCTATATGGAAAGGACCAGACAAGGACTTGTGGTGCATGATTATTCTTTATAAAGCAGTCATCATACCCCAACGGGTAAGGTAGACCAGTGGTTCTCAACCCTATTAGATCCAGTGTCCCCTTTCCATAACACATATTTTACAGTGACTCTGCTATCCTGAAATGAAATACACAGATGATGTAACCTATGTAACATGATTTCAAAAAAATCAGTGTATTGCCCTAACTATAATATAGAGGAGAAGTAAAAGGGCATTAATTGATAATAAAAAGAATTTTTAATATGCAAGTGTTTGGGCACAACCTACACTAAAAAACAAAATCGTAGGAGTCAGGTGCTTGCACCTATACCATGAATGTAAAAGCTAAAAATGTATACAGGCTGGGCATGGTGGCTCATGCCTATAATCACAGCACTTTGGGGAGACCAAGGCAGGAGGATTGTTTGAGGACAGAAGTTTGAGACCAGCCTGGGTAACATAGCAAGACCCTATCTCTAGTAAAAAAAAATTTAGACAGATTCAGGCATATTGTTTTGGGAACTCAAATGACATAAGGACAGTTGACACTGATGATGTTATTTTCTGAAATGGTGAAATCTCATGATAAAGTTCTTAAATTGCAGTATCCCCAATTTACTTAGTAATTGCATTTCTGGAATGTTCAGTGTTTATATATATTTAAAAACAGTGCAAAGAACCTTTGTGTTTATAAATAAAACCAACTTAGGTCTAAATTCAGATGACTGTAAACAGATTTTCATTTGTGTGAATATTCAGTGAGATATTTGAAAGTTTTACAAGAAACAGGGTAATTCTTGATTTTGTGGGACTGCCTCATGCATTGCAGGATATCTAGCACCTTCTCATTCAATGCGAGCCATCCTGCCACAAAACTTTGTCACAACCAAAACAGTATACCCACACATTTACAAAATACCCCAGGAACAGTACTGCCTCCTATGAGAGGAGGTCCGTGGGTAAGTGGCATTGTTTTCCTGTATTACAACAGGGCTTCCTGCCAAGGTTTTGGTAACCAGTGAGATGATGTATTCTTATCAAACTCCCTTTTCTGTCACTAAATCATAAATTACACTAACAAACCCCATCTTCTGTCTAATTGCATTGTTGAATAGTTGTTATCTTCTTTTGTAGATTTCTGCTTGTGGGGCAGAATGGGGAAGTTTGTAAACTCAGTCACTGTTCTAATTTTTCTTCCATTATCCTAATTTGTGTTTTTCTTTTCTGCCCTTTACCTTCTAGGAGGAATGCAGACCCAGGTTGGAATGCCAGGAAGTGGACCGGTGTCCATGGAACGGGGACAAGGTAAATAAACATTAATGTCTGATTGACATGGGTTGGCCTTAGAAATGTTCCATATCTGCACTAATATGGCAGCTACTAAACCACTAGTAGCTGTTTAAATATTAAGCGAATTAAAATTAAATCAAAATTATTTAAAACTCATTTCCTCAGTCGCACTAGCCACATTCCAAGTGCTCTATAGCCACATGTGACTAGAGGATACCATACAGGACATTGCAGATATAGAACGTTGCTATCGTCACAGAAAGTTTTATTGTACAGTGCTGGTCTAGACTTTCCACCTAGTGTTTCAGAGCTCTACAAGAATTGATGATGGAGCAAGTGGATCCTTTGTTTCTTGATGGCTTAATGATTGCACTGACATGTTCTCTCTCCCTATGTGGAAATCTGTTGGCTGAGTAAGGAATTTCAATAATGAGCATGTAAATATGTGGCTGGGTATATAGAAGACTAGATTTAAACCCTAGAGAAAACTAAGAGGGGATCATAGGTCTATAAAGCCTACTCAATAAGTATCTGTTGTGCTATGGCAATAATGCTGTATATAACAGCAGCTACCACTCCAAAATCTCCACGTTAGTTCTCCACGTTACTGGAGTTTGAAGGAAAAGAAAATGCAGTGGTTCAGTTGGAAACATTGTTAGGAGCAGAGGATGAGAAAAGAGAAGGAACTGAGTGCGTGCTATGTGCCAGGCATTTTAGTATTCATAAACTACCTTGTGAGTTAGGTGGCAGCACCTCAGTTTTACAGGCAAAGAGGTGGAAGCTTAGAGTTTTAAGTTACTTACTCAAGGGGACAAGGTAAGTAAATACTAATGTCTGAGTAATATGGACTGGATTTGATGCTCTCATCCTCTCTTCTAACTAATAAGTGGCAGAGCTAAGATTCAGAAGTCTCTGACTCCAGAATCTATTCTCTTTCTGTCACTCCACACTGCCCCTATTAACTTCCAAAAATATTATTCAGTGTCTTATATTCTTACCCATTGGGTCTCTGTGATGGGAAAAGACTGCTTTGGACAGACATAGAGAAGCTTAAGTTTTTTCTTCTTAGCATGTGGCCTATAAGTGAAACTCATTTAAAAAGCAAAATATTAAGGTACACTGGGGTTGGTTGCTAAAGAGACAGAACTAATAAATTTTTCTTGTTAGATATCTGACAGCAGGACCAACTCCTGGCCAGATACCGCATCTCTTCTTTAAGCATCCCATACTTTTGTGCTGTTGTACATCCCCTACCCCAACCCCACCACTGTCAATAGATTGTGTGTGTACCCCCAAAGTATTTTTGCAGTAGTGAGAAGGAATTAGGATTTTGGTCATACTTCTGCCTCTCAAGGGCCCAGCAATCAATCAATCAAGTTTTAGCTGTTTAACACACGCTTCCATGAGACATCTTCGTTCCTGCTATTATCTTTACCTTTCTGGTCAAAAATTGACGAAGGGAAATGACTCCTGTTTTGAGGGTATTTTAAGGATGTCTTCATGAAAAGACAAAGTAAGATGAGTTTTATTTTATAGTTTCCTTCAGTACCCAGCAGAGGAAGCAAGAATCTTTTTCATTTATACCCAGTTTGTCTTACTTTCCTGGAATCTACTACTTTTGCACATTTATAATGGTGAAAGAAGTTAGTGAAGTGTTTTAGAAGATATCACTTGCTTTTCTACCACCTTTGTTTACTGTTGGTGCCCGTGTCATTTCATTAGTCATTGTTTGCTGTTGTCATGATGTTTATCATCAAAGACTTGCTGTGGCGGAGTATTTCGTGTGGAGTGATATTCTCTTTCCTCATCTAAAATTCATTCACTGCATTTCCCCATTCGATACTTGGATAGTAGAAATTTTTGTGCTCTAAAATATGACAAAAATAGTACTGCCCCATGTCTGTAACAGCCTCTCCAGAATAAATCTTGCCTTTGAGATTCAGTCCGGTTGCTTTCATGTTTTGTTTCTGAAACTACGTTTATGTTCTTTGCTTAACTAGAGATTCAAAATTATTGTTTATATTTTGTTTCTTTTTTATTTTAATTGTATCATAAGGAAACTTAAGGGAAAACATAGTAGCAGAGGTGAAAACTAAAAGTGGTTGGCCATCCCTGCCCAGATAAAACCAGTGCCCCACAGGTTTCCCTTTAGGAAGCTATCTGGTCAGAGTGGAACTGTTTCAAATACCCAAAGGAGCTAGTATAGTTTAGGGAGGTTTTGTAGCCTGGGGCAAGCTGATGAGCTCTTGGCTTTTTAACTTATATGTGTAAATCTCCAGTCTCCGTATGTATGTGTTCCTGTGTGTATGTGCAAGCTATTTTAAGTGTCTGCTCTTTCTCCTTTTGAACTTATTGCTCACCTAGGAACCCTACAGCACTCGCCCGTGGGACCCGCCGGGCCTGCATCAATTGAGCGAGTTCAAGGTACCCATTGTATCTGCGGGTTTCCTTTTGCTTGTGGTGCTCAGGGTGGGACGTTGAGAGGAAACGAGCTGCTTGGCAGTCATCCTCACGTTCAGAACCCAAAAGGGTAGTGTTTTGGGGTTTTTGTTTTTTTAATTTTTTTCCTGTTGAGGCCACAAGCCTAAGATTGACCTCTTCACACAGGGCAGAGAACATGGATGATATGGGCATCTGTCCGAGGCTGTACTCCCTCCCTACTGGTGTCAGGAGGCTTGGATGGAATAGCAGTCTGTAAGGAGACAGCGGGTTCTTGCAGAGCCATGGCAGTGTTCACATATGCCAAGACCCCACCTCTCTTTTGTGACTCTGGTCCTTGAACTAAGATTGATTAGAAGGAAAACCAGGAGCATAAGTTTCTTCAGGTCGCAGTGCTAGTCCTTGGCAGGTTGCTCCCCAGTTTGCTCTTTATATAATTCCATCCATACCTCTGACATGGCACAGATTCTGCCTACACCCTGCTTCTGTTCTTGAGCTGCAAGAGGATTCTGCTGTGGTGAGGTTTCACCCACTCTAAGGTGTCTTAATTATATTGTCAGTGGTATATAGAGCCATTTCTTATTTCTTTATGTGTCCTTCACAGCAGTAACTCCCCGTTTGTTTCCCTGTCAGTGCCGATGCAAGACCCCAGAGCAGCTATGCAGCGGGGATCCTTGCCTGCCAACGTCCCAACTCCTCGAGGTCTGTTAGGAGATGCTCCAAATGATCCACGGGGAGGCACTTTACTTTCTGTAACTGGAGAGGTAGAACCTAGGTAAGCACTAACATAGAAGGAAACAGTTTGAGAAATCCAGATTTTCCTTCTTTTGACAACAGAGTCTTTCTGTACCAATCATACCTGCTTGACTACTTCAAGATATATAAATATTCATGGCCACTGTCCAAGACTAAGCACTTTGCCTAAGGCAAAACTATGTAGTTGAGTATGTCATCTTGAGGTACTGTGTTTTCAGAAATTGGAAATTCTAGTATAATTATCTGAACAGGGGAAACTTGTGACAGTAGTAACATTAATAGTAACAATAATAATAACAGTTGACATTAATGAGGCTCATGCCTCTGACTCTGCTCTGAATGCTATACTTAGATCATCTGAAATCCACACAATGGCTCTGTGAGATGGGCACCATTATTAGTCCCATTTTACAGATAAAGAAATAGGAACATGGAAAAGTTTAAGTAAATGCGCCCAAGATCACACAGCTAATAAGCGATAGAACCTACATTTGAACTCATACAGTAGGAATCCAGAACCCATGTTCTTTTTTTTTGAGACAGAGTCTCACTCTGTTGCCCGGGCTAGAGTGCCGTGGCTTCAGCTTGGCTCACAGCAACCTCAAACTCCTGGGCTCAAGCAATCCTTCTGCCTCAGCCTCCCGAGTAGCTAGGACTAGAGGCATGTGCCACCATGCCCGGCTAATTTTTTTCTATATATTTTTAGCTGTCCAATTAATTTCTTTCTATTTTTAGTAGAGATGGGGTCTGGCTCTTGCTCAGGCTGGTCTTGAACTCCTGAGCTCAAACTATCCACCCCCTCGGCCTCCCAGAGTGCTAGGATTACAGGCGTGAGCCACCACGCCCAGCCTAGGACCCATGTTCTTAAGCACTGTACTGCATGCTCATTATACATATAACGAATATCTATTGATTCTTCTCTAATTATGAGTGCTCCAAATATGACATTCTAGAATATGTGGATTTATATCTCCATAGCATTTCTTCAGTATGTTTGGTGTTACTCTCTTGTTAGCATTCATTGACTGATGTTTGCATCAGTTCTTTGTTGGATGTTTACTTACTGATCTTCTGGTTGACCCTTTTTGGTTGTTTTTTTCTGTTTTAAAATATAACATTTTTCTCCACCTTTAGAGGTTACCTGGGACCACCTCATCAGGGTCCACCCATGCACCATGTCCCTGGCCATGAGAGCCGTGGACCACCCCCACATGAAATGAGGGGTGGTCCATTAGCTGAGCCCAGACCTCTAATGGCAGAACCAAGAGGACCCATGCTAGATCAGAGGGGTCCACCCTTGGATGGCAGAGGTAAGGGGAGACCACATCCCAAGGCTAACTCGTAGTTGTGGGCTGATGGTGAACCCAGCTAGCTTAGGCCTTAATCTGCGATAAAGAATGCTAGAGCAGTAAAGTTGACAAGAATCTTTAAGGTTTATCTGCAAATCTGAGAAAATGGAGAAGAGACAATAGTCTCATATAGTCGAGGGGAGATGTGACTAGAGGAATAGATTTCTATCTTCCTTGGATTGTTGGTTCTTCTTGCAGTACAAGTGACTTTTTTCTTTTTTACCACTTTCTTTATAGGTGGGAGAGATCCCCGAGGAATAGATGCACGAGGGATGGAGGCCCGAGCCATGGAAGCAAGAGGATTAGATGCCAGAGGATTGGAGGCCCGTGCGATGGAAGCCCGGGCGATGGAAGCTCGTGCAATGGAGGCCCGAGCAATGGAGGCCCGTGCAATGGAAGCCAGAGGCATGGATACCAGGGGCCCGGTGCCTGGCCCTAGAGGACCTATACCTAGTGGAATCCAGGGTCCCAGTCCAATTAACATGGGGGCAGTTGGCCCCCAGGGATCCAGACAGGTATGTGTAACACTCACTTCTAGCATCTAAGTGAAATCTAGATCTATTCAGAAATTGGTTATCGATCGAGCCTGATTATTACTGCCTTCTGACTTGGACTATTTCTCAGCTTGTTAGAAGGGAATACTAGGATCTTGCCATAGTTCTGTGTCTGTAAGGTAGTGATTTTCTGGCTACCGAGATTGTAGTTCAAAAGAACAACCATATCCCACAATAAGTAGCTATTCCATTCAGAGCAAAATTTAGGGGTTAGAGGGTAGTCTTCTACTACTTCTATTGGGGGTACAGACCAATATCACATACAAGGCTTTTTCTAAAATATAGTTGCCTGGATCTCACCCCAGGCCTAACTCAGGATCTCTTATCAGTAGGATCTGAGCATGGATAGTTTGAAAAACCTCCCCCAAGTGATTTTAACATGCAACCCTGACTAAGAACCACTGGGTTAGAGTATATGGAGAGTTGTTGATGGTCATTTAAAGTAATCTTGGGTTTGCTAAGACCTGTGTTGATTTACTGTCATCACATAGCCTAAGTGAACATTGGAGTATGAAAGGCAATTTAATGATCAACTTAAAAGCTGTGGAAATGAAGCTTGTCTCCTCTCTCCATTATTTGGCTCTCTGCAGCTGTCTATATGGGATGGTCTGTGGTCGTCATCACCTCCCTCTTTATCCCCAGTTGGTTGTGGGAAGGTGGTACGTGTGTATCTTCCCTGAGTTTTCATGTGCTGGCACCTTCATTTCCCTCTAGACCCTCCACCTTCCTCTTTCTTCCTTCCTTTGTGTACTTCTCTCTTCCCTCTTCCATTTGTTTATGTATCTTCCTCCGTGTGTGTGTGTGTGTGTGTGTGTGTGTGTGTGTGTATGCACGCGCGCACGCAACAAAGATAATAGAGCTAGAATGGAAATGTCGATCATCTGGTTCCATCATTTTATAGGTTTGGAAACTGAGGCCCAAGAATTCAGGTGACTTGACCAAATTCACATAACTAAAAATTGGCAGAGCAAGGAATAGAGCCTATTTTTTTTTCCACTCTACTACTCTCTCCTGTTACTTGCACATTTATAGGTGGATATGTGTCCACCTCCTCCTCTTTAATATGAAATAAAAATATGATTATTTTCTGGTATGTGTAAAAGAAAACTATTCTCTATTGTTTTTTAAGTTTTGCTTTAAGAAAAATATGTTCATGGGCCTTGGTTTTTATTGTGCCCTGTATGGTCAGTGGCCTCAGAAATGGTTTTTATGTGTTCATTCTGTCATTGAGCAAATATTCATTGAGCACTACTGTGTAACAAAGATAGATCTAAGTACTGGGGATATAGCAGTGTGAACAGAACAAAGCCGCTACCCCTGTGGGGCTCACATTCTAGTTGGGGAGACAGATAACAAGTATCTGCATAATGCGCTTATCTAATTCTTCCAATAATTCTGTGGAGAAAGACGTTAAAAGTAATGGTTGGAAGACCATTTCTGGATGATGTCTTGCTCTTTTTTCCCTGCTAGTACTTGAACTCATTACTCTAGTAATAGGTTTATATAGTTTCATAAGCAGATTCTATAAAGCCCATTAGATCCAAGGTAGAGAAAATAAAAATTTTTATCTCTGGTCTTTTTTTAAAAAAATTTACTTATAAATAAATATATATAATAGATTCATTCATCTATAAAAGATACACATTAAGAACCTCACTTCACACCGAACATGGTGGCACACCCCTATGGTCCCAGCTACTCAGGAGACAGATCATTTGAAACCGGGAGTTTGAGGCTATAGTGTGCTCTGATTGTGCCAGCGAATAGCCACGGCTCTCTAGCCTGGGCAACATAGTGAGACTCCCACCTCTCTTTAAAAAAAAATAAAAACCTTGAATCCTCTCAGACCTGTCTCCTCTGTGACCTCTAGCTCCTATAAATAATCATTTTTATTAGATCTTTTTATGTATCTTTCTGGGAGATATGAATATTCTTATTTTTCCCCCTTTCACTGTTCTTTACTTTGGTTTCTTTGTTTTTTTTTTTTTTTACTTAACATGTCCTTAATTCATAATTTTAAATCAGATTTTAAAATTAACTTCAGTCGTCCCAGTTGGAAACTTGTGGGTAAAGGGCTTATTATTACTAGAGTGATTATAGGGTGATTATGTAATTTATCATCTAAAGAAGGACACTTTTAAGAATAAAAGAGTGCTGTTAATAATTTACTCTGAGGAAAAAGCATAAACCGGGATTGTCTTAGGCAAACCAAGATGTATGGTCACTCTTACTAGTACTTATCTGCCTAGAACAGGCACTCCTGGAAACTTAAAATGGCCATTATTGAGTGGTTAGATCACATTACAGTACCTCAAATTAGTATTGACTAAAGCTTGAAAAAGATTATTCTCATAGGTGTTTCAGATCCATAAGAGCTCATTAAGGTTCAGACCGGTCTCTGGATTCAGTACTGATAAAGAACAAAATAGTGCTAATATTCTAGCAATCTGTACAAATCTGTACCAATGCTTCATCTGTTTGGTGTCTTTGGGAAATGAGTTAATGCATGTACATGGATGTTCCAGATAATAGAACTATTCTACCAAGTTTTTAAACTGTTTTAATGAAAAATTATTTATGATATATTTTATGCTTCCTTTCTTAAACAGGATACAAAAAATGATTATAATCATTTGTGACTACTCAAGGTCATCATTAAATAGATACATTATTGTATATGCTATAGTATAAAACATCATTATCTCTTGTTTGGTTTCTGGTCTCCTTCACTGTCAGGCTGTCACCTGGCTCTTCACATTGCTGTCATAGTATCTGCTCCTAACAGTTGTTTATCCGTATTTCTTTTATGCTTTGCTGCTTCTAATCTGCTGGGGAAGCAGGTAACACGTTTGTTAACAATTTGTGTTTAATAAGAGAGTATCTAAGCTCTGGGTGAATGCCTGAGTGTGAACATAACTCTAAGTGTAGGGACCTTCTAACAGTTATGTTTGGTCCTCAGAGGTCTTTACCTTGGTTTCGGATAAGTCTTCCAAAGGGTCGAACTCATCGAAGATCTTAATTAAATACCAATAAGTATTTAATAAAAACTGCACTTTTTTCTTTTACTCAGGTTAGTCATATTTCTTGATCTGCATTTAGCAGAAAGCATCTACCATATAATCTCTATGGAAAGCTATAAAAAGCAAATGTTGGACAAATAGCATTCTTTTCCCCAGAGGCCTTCCCATTGCCTTTCCACCTCTCTGACATTATGATTGCCTGTGCCTCACTTGTGGGATAGGGCCTTTTGGGACGAACTACCTATGTCTGATTGAACTAGAGGTAGGCAGTAGCCCTGTGAATGTCACTTCCCCAGCGGACAAGCATATGTTTTCTCTAGAATGTGTTGGTTTCATTTGTGTTTCCACTGAGCACTCGTTTCCAGGGTGCTCTCAGTTTTCCCTGTGCTCATTTGGTTTAATTTTGATTAATTCGATGGTATCCAGTTGTACTGAGTGATACGTGTTGACGACGCTAGAGCTGTTGTGAACAAGTTTGTCTAACTTGCTAGTTGGTCTCTGGCAAAACCCTGCCTTCTGTCATTGCTGACAGTATAGCAAAGAATCTTCAGAGTCATTAATTTGCTTCCTGTAGTCATATCCGTATAGAGAGCATAATTTTTCACATTGCTCTTACTGGATTCAGGTTACCTATACATCAGGAGTTCCAAAAATCTCTCCTCTCTCTTTGTGTACATAGGTCCCAGTCATGCAGGGAACAGGCATGCAAGGAGCGAGTATGCAGGGTGGAAGCCAGCCTGGTGGCTTTAGTCCTGGGCAGAATCAAGTCACTCCACAGGATCATGAGAAGGTAAGCAACACTGTCTGACTGCTTCTATATGCACAAATCTAGTCTTTTTGATTCCTGTTTTCACAGTTACCATGTGACGATCCTGGGTCTTCAAAGTCCCTTTGGAGGTGATGTTTACTCTAACTTAGAACTCTTTTATGCCTTGTTACCTGAAAATTTGTGGGTCTAGTCATAAAGTTCTTAAGTGGGTATAAATGGCAGCTTATCTTGCATTTCAAACTCATCTGCCAATAATAGTAGGTTCTTTTAATGTAGGCTAGACTGACCTGAAAATCCAAACCCCTTTCTTCCTTCCCTTTCTACCTTATCCCAAAAAACAATAGCAGATTCCCCATCAGTATATCTTTCTATTTTTATATTTGACCATTGTGGGGAGTTCATGTCTGGTGGGAAGGCTAAAACTTGTGAAAAGAGAGACTTTCAAAACAGGATTAAAAACTGAAGAATTTTCAGGGCTCAAAGATACCATCTTAGTCTGCAGGCACTTTGAATTCATGAAGGTATCTATTTTGAATCGACTAATCTTAGGTATTTTAATTTATACTTGGTATTTTCATTGTGCCTTCTCTCACCAGATTTTTTTTCTTTTTTTTTTTTTGGGGGCCTGCCATTTTTTTCCATGTGTAAAATATCTTTTCTTTTTCCATTTTGCTTCATATGCCACTACAGTAGCTTTTTGGACAGAAGCTGGTGGTGGTTTTTTTTTTAGCTGTCATCATTAAAACTCACTACCTGTTTTTCCTCTGCGCAGGCTGCTTTGATTATGCAGGTTCTACAACTAACTGCAGACCAGATTGCCATGCTGCCTCCTGAGCAAAGGCAGAGTATCCTGATCTTAAAGGAACAAATACAGAAATCCACTGGAGCACCTTGAAAGGTAAGCAAACTTAATCCCACCTGAGTAGGACTAGCTCCTTGTGTATTCTGGGTGTGTACTTTCAACCGTAACCACCAAGATTGTTCTCTCTGAGGCCCGCAATCCTCTTAGCAAGACTCTCTTTACACTTCAGTAGGTAAGCTCCTGTAGGGATAAAATAAGGCTCTAGAACATTTGTTGAGTTGTCGAATTGCTTATAATCTTTATTAACCTTCCTTTCTTAGTGACAAAAGTCATATATGATCAGTTTAACAAATGTATAAAGTTTCCAGCCTGAGCAAGAGTGAGACCCCATCTCTACTAAAAATAGAAAGAAATTGGCTGCACAACTAAATTGGCTGCACACTAGGCCGGGCAACAGAGTGAGACTCTGTCTAAAAAAAAAAAAAAAAAAACAAATGTAGTAAGTTAAAGGTTAAAAAGCCCTGCTTCCTCAATCTCATTCCCCAGACAGAACCTCTAAATATAGTTTGGTATATATCTTTCCAGAATGAATTGTATTATTTTATTCCAAACTGTCCCATCAAAATGGAGAAAATACAAAGCATTTCAATAAAATGTGTAAATATTTTAGTTTCCTGTATTTGTTTTATAATGAACATTTTGATGTGAAACTATTACAGCACATAATTTAAGATAGTAAGTGTCCACCATTACCATCGGTTTCTGTACATTTTGGGGATTGCTGTACACTACTGTCCTTATTTTTCATGCTCATCAGTCTGGTAAAAAGGATCCAGGTAACCTGCTTCATAAATAATCATGTAACTTAACTTGATTGCACATATACATATTGGTGTTTCTTTTTAAAAAATTTTCCCCCAACATCTTTGTATTTTATAAACAAATTCTTTTTCTCTAAAAACAGTTTAAAATTCACATTATCCCAGTATCAGCTAGAATATCACATTTGGAATTTCTGTTTACCCCATCCGTATTATAATTCCCATCCATATGTTTTAATCCCTATTTGCAATGTCTTCAAAACATCCAAACAGCAACTGTGCATCGTATCTATATTTAGACTTTTTTTTTTTTTTTTTTTTTTTTTGAGACAGAGCCTCACTATGTTGCCCGGGCTAGAGTGCCGTGGCGTCTTCCTAGCTCACAGCAACCTCAAACTCCTGGGCTCAAGTGATCCTACTGCCTCAGCCTCCCGAGTAGCTGGGACTACAGGCATGCGCCACCATGCCCGGCTAGTTTTTTCTATATATTTTCAGTTGTCCAATTAATTTCTTTCTATTTTTAGTAGAGACGGGGTCTCGCTCTTGCTCAGGCTAGTGTCGAACTCCTGAGCTCAAACAATCCGCCCGCCTCGGCCTCCCAAAGAGCTGGGATTACAGGCGTGAGCCACCACGCCTGGCCTATATTTAGACTTTAAATGACTGAACATTATAATGGGAAGCTATCATAGATGGATGGCTGTCCAGACTTTGGTGTGACCAGCACCTTAACCTTTTATTCCAGATACCCTAAGCATTTTATTTTCTTCAGTAAAAGCATAGACTACCTATTATATTCAGAGGAATAGATAAAAATTATCACTCTTTTTTACTAATTTTTTTATGCTAGAGAAGGGATTCTCTACGATGTCAGAAAATTACTGTTTTTGGATAGTGGAGGTAGAAATGTTTCTGAAAGTTCATTATGTTATTCTTGCTTATAAGATATCTAATTTAAAGTCTTGCACATTAACCACAGGGCAAGGTTTTTATCTGTTCTTTATTAAATACCTTTTATTTTGAAATAATCATAGATTCACAGGAAAAATGGTGCAAAGAATCTCACATACCTTCACCCAGCCTCCCCCAATAATAACATCTTAAATGACTGTAGTACAATATCTTTTTGCTTTGTAGCAAAAAACCAAGAAATTGACATTGGTACATAACTAGTTAACTAGACTACAAACCTTATTGAGTCTTCACCATTTTTTAAGACCTACGGTAATTTGTATGTATGTGGGTGTAGTTCTGTGCAGTTTTTTGGGGGCAAGATTTTACTGTGTATCTACTGATATTTGTGCATACTATGGCCAAAGTGTTGGCTTTCCCTTCATTCTATACCTAGCTAGTTGTGATCCATCTCTGTCATCACTGTCCAGCTTCTATACCATTGCCATTAGAGAGCAGTGGTTCTCAACCATGGGCAGTTTTGCCCCCAAGGGACATTTGGCAATGTCTGGAGATATTTTTTTTCTCATGTTTTTCCTGAAGAGAACTTTGTCTACAGTTCTAATGGCTCTCTCCCAACTTTTTCTTACAGGTTTTTGAAAATACCTGGCAAGAATCTGGAAATTAACTCCATAACTTTGATGACATGCTGAAAAAAGATGACTTCTGCATCCTAACCCTTGAGTGACTCAAATCAGTGCCAGGTGGAGGACTCCCATCACCTTCTCTCAGAACAAAATCAGTTCATTTTGTTGTCGTAGTTTGTATATTTTCTGTGACTTGAAATAAACTTTGAACACAATTTTAGTACACTGCAAATTGATATACATGACCTTTTTGCTTTTAAAAAGCTGAACACCAAGGGTGAAACCTTAGATGCGATTTCTACCCTTACTGCAGTATTGTACTTTAACATTATATTGCCATAGCTGTTTTTACTTTAGGTTTACCATTTATTCTTCTTGACATTTGAGAATTTCTCAGAAGCAATGTTTTCTGAAACTTACTTTTTGTTTAGTTTGCTTCTAGCAGAATAATAAGGCTTTGCCCTCTGAAAACTCTCTAGAACTTGAGTCTTCTGGGAGAAAATAGCATGTGCTTACAGCTGTAAAACGGTCAGAAGGCCAACAAATCAAAGAGCCTAGCACAGCAGTGTGTTTAGTTTAGAAAACTTTAAATATCAAAATGCATTTTTTTTGTCAGTAGCAGGTCTGAACATGCACAGTTCAGAGTTAAGACAAAGATGTGTTAGCACTGGTTTGAGTGTGTGTCAACAACATAAGAGACTGTTAACATTTACTTGTCTGTTCTAAAAACTTACCAGTCTAGGTAGGTAATCAACTTTAAAAGTTTAAAAAGCCACTAGTTTTTCACATGTTCAAGATAAAATAAGAACTGAACAGAAATCAAATGAACAAAATACATTTCATCCTATCTTCCAGGAATTCATTAATCTGCTGCCCTACCCTATAACCAAACTTATTCTGGGAACTTAAAACATAGAAAACCCTAAAACTTTTACATTCTTCTCAGTTAACAAGGACCAGATGTAGAGCACATACAATCAGATCACCCATTAGGTCTGCTCCTAACTGCTTCCTTGCGGGTAGGTATGAACATAATTAGTGCCATTAGCTCTAACCTATGGGTCTTCTTGCCTAGTATTCTCTCTCTTGTAGTGGCATTAGGAGGGAACATGGTTTCTCTTCATCAGGCCAACTTCAGGAGGTTAAGAGTTGCCTTAATAATTAGCAAAGTTCTACTGGAACTACTTTTGAGCTTATTTATATTCTCAGAATCCTACCCCCTGGGTTAGGATTATAGTCAGGTGAATTAAAAGCCTGGCATAGGCTTAGAGAATGTAATAGCATATTGCTTACATGTCAAGCAAAAGAATGCAAAAATAATCAACTTTGTGAGAGACACTGAAATTGAAGGATTTTCTACTCTGATATATAAACATTTATAACAAATATTTGCTGGATAAGGTATTTCATATTACAACCTAGCAAGAAAATCTTGATCGAAATAGCTGGGGAGCTTTCTGGGTATCCTGGTCATCCCCAATTCAGCTTGGATATTGATTATGCATAGAATTTATTATTTTCATTACCTTTTCTGCCTACTCCATGAATATTAAGGCCTTGACATGTTGATTTTGGCAGCAAAATCACTCTTGAACAGTGTCAGTATATTTAGACATTGAGATTGAGTGAAGCCTTTCTTTTTAGAAACTCATTATAAATTTCAAGGAACACTAAGATTATAAAGCAAGGTCATTGAAGATTAAATTATTCAGTCAGCGGTTGTCTAATAGGGACCATATCTTCACAGTTCCATTGTGCATTTTCCCAAAGTCCTGTTAAACCTAATTTAGATAGCTGAATCTAGGCGCACAAATTAGCCACAGCAGCGGTATCCCTCCCTACAGAAATACCCACTGTTATTTTTTACTGGTGTAATAAACGAAACAGAATTAGCTACCATGAGTTCATAACCCACCTTTATTGTGCTCAGACTAGTGACTGAAAAACCCAATTTTACCAATCCAAGCCATGGAGGTTCCCGAATAATTAGAGACAACTATTTGTTCCTTCTTGGTCACTTAATGATAAAAAAAAAAAGGTGCTATAATGCTGATTCAGTAGAAACATTCTTATAAATCTATAATGAGTTAAATTGTCTTTGGGCACAATGAAATGTGAGGTTTTTTTCTCTCTTTTAAGAGCCCAGGCTGTTTTCTTCCTAGTGATTCACTGTGACTACTAACAACCCAGAGCCTGTTGTAGGGTCAGATTGGGTAGATGGGAAAATGAAAAGCATTGTGATAGGAGAAAGAAAAGCATTTTGCTTATGTCATTTGGTGAATGATTATTTAGTGAATAGGTAGGTAGGAGCCAAACAAATCTATTAAAATTATAAATTATTTTTTAAGCTAGACATTAATAAACCCCCTTAATAAAAGCGGCGATAAAGAGCCCCTGTTGAGTTTTTGCAATTATTTTTAACAGAACGATACAAGATGACAAGGTAGCTGACTTGCAATTATAATACAATTTCAGTTACAATTAGCATACTTTCAAGGTTTTCTTTCCCAAATGGAGAGCCCAGAAGTAACAAAAGATTGATTAAACAAAGAAGAAAATCCTTCATTTTTTGACAAGCAAAAATAAGTAAAGCATAAATTGCTGTTCACACTGGATAAGACCATGTTTAAAGTTACAGTAAAAATGTACATAGTTGGTGTTATATGGGACGGGGTTCTTGATAATTTTCTGTTCATTGTTTATTATTTATGTTTATTATGTTTTGTCATTAATTATTCAATAAATTTTTATTTAAAAAATCACCCTACTTAGAAATCTTCTGTGAGGGTGGGAGGGGGAGATTACAAACCAAAGTCCAGGGGATGCTAACACTTGGAATCGACATAATCACCTGGGGTTGAATTGTGTAACTGTCAACCACCAAAGCTCTGCTATCAAGTTTCGCTGCAGTCATGGCTTTCCAGAAGGATTTACAGTTATTTTCCCAAGAAAGGATTCATAGATTTTGCAATAATTGTGATTTCTGAAGTTCTTAGGTTGGTGAAGCTCAAGTTAACAAAGTTGAATGCAATCAAAAAAAGAATGCTAGGGAGTCAAGGCTTGAGAGGCACAATATTATCCTAAAGTGGCTGACCAGACCAAGTAAATTACTGAAGATGCAAAGGAGAGAGAAAATGCAGATTCCTGTCCTTATGCCAATAATTCAGAAATTTTCTTTGTTGAAGTAGAATTGAACCTTCCTAGGATCCAGACTGGAGTATCGGTGACAGCATTTGCGCAGGCTCTTTGCCAAAGTCCGGGGACCACATAAGAAAACCCCCACCACAGATCTGTAGGAATAGAAGAATAGTAAGGGCTAGAATGTGACCAAGGCTGCTGATGTTAGAATGGAGAAACTGCCTCTGCTAGGCCTCTGCCACTCCCAAGAACCTTGAATAAATATTTGGTTGGTAACTCTCTCCCACATTCTTCATGGTAGTTTTTTAACCTTTTCTGCTCACAAGCTCCAAATATGCTCTCAGCCCTTACCAGTCTCAGCACTCAGCCTTACCTATTTTATTGAGGAACACAGACACTCAAGAGACATAGTATAGTGCAGTGGTTAAGTGCCAGACTCTGGAGCCAGTCTGACTGGGTTCAGATCTCAACTCTGACATCAATCCCACCTGTAGGACTTGAGGCAAATTCCTTAACCTCTCTGTGTTTCAGCTTTCCCACTTGTAAAGTGGGGATAAAAATAGTATGACCCACCTCTCAGGGTTGTTTTGAAGATTAAATGAAAACATGAAAAGCAGTTAGAAAAATGCCTGGCATATAGCAAGTGCATATGTATTAGCTGCCATTAAAGCCATCCACTGTAAGCTTACCCCCACCACAAAATTTCTCATACTGAAGAGGTGGTGTCCTTTTCTTGCCAAGGCTAATCTATCTCCTTCCTTCCCATACCTTCCTCTCCACTCTTCGTTTTCTTTTAGCTAATTATGGTACAATGCATTCTTTCTTCTTTTTTTTTTTATTTTTAGAGATGGGGTCTCACTGTGTTGTCCAGGCTGGTCTTGAACTCCTGGCCTCAAATGATCCTTCCACCTCAGCTTCCCAAGGTGCTGGGATTACAGGCATGAGCCACCATGCCCAACTTAATTATGGTATAATTCACATACCATAAAATTCACCCCACTGAAATATACAATCAGTGCTTTTTAGTATAGCCACAAAGTTGTGCAACCATCACCACTATCTAATTCCAGAACATGTTCATCATCCTGAAAAAAAACCCATCCACATTAGCAATCACTCCTCATTTCCTCCCAACTACCCCCACCCTAGACAATCACGAATCTGCTTTCTATCTCTGTAGATTATGAATGTTTCATATAAATGGAATCATACAATATGTGGCCTTTTGTGTCTGGTTTCTTTCATTGAACAAATGTTAACAAGGTTTGTCCATGTTTGTAGCACATATTTTTATAGCTAAATAATATTCCATTATGTGAATACATCAATTTATTCATCTGTTGATGGACACTTGGGTTGTTTTCACTTTTTGGCTATTATGAATAATGCTGCTCTGTACATTCAGGTACATATTTTTGTGTGGATGTATGTTTTCAGTTATCTTGGGTGTATACTGAGAAGTGGAATTGCTGGGTCATATGGAAACTTTGTTTAACACTTTGAGGAACAGCCAAAGAGTTTTCCCCAAGTACTGTACCATTCCACTTTCCCACAAGCAATGTAGTAGGATTCCGGTTTCTCCACTTCCTCATCAACACTTATTGTTTGTCTTTTACTGTGGCCATCTTAGTCCTCTCCCCTCTTTTATATATTTATTATATTCCTATCTACTGACCTCTGTTCCGTCTATAAATATGCTTAGATCATCCTCAAGCTAAATAAGCACCTCCTGACCCTATCACTCTTTCAACACTATTGACTATTCTTCTCTAATATTTCTTCCCTTGGCTTCTGTGACAACACTTCTCTGCATACTCCTACTTCTTCCCTGGTTTATCTTTCTCCCTTCCCACATAACCTGGGCATTCCTTTTTTTTTTTTTTTTTTGAGACAGAGTCTGGCTCTGTTGCCTTGGCTAGAGTGAGTGCCGTGGCGTCATCCTAGCTCACAGCAACCTCACACTCCTGGGCTCAAGCGATCCTCCTGCCTCAGCCTCCCGAGTAGCTGGGACTACAGGCATGCGCCACCATGCCCGGCTAATTTTTTCTATATATTTTTAGTTGTCCAGCTAATTTCTTTCTATTTTTTTTTTTAGTAGAGATGGGGTCTCACTCTTGCTCAGGCTGGTCTCGAACTCCTGAGCTCAAACAATCCACCCGCCTCGGCCTCCCAGAGTGCTAGGATTACAGGCGTGAGCCACCGCGCCCGGCCTGGGCATTCCTTAATATTCTGTCGTTTGTCACTCTCCCTCTCTCCTGACAGTCTCATGCACTCTCACAACTTCAACTATGTTCAACTCAACACGATAATTAGCATAATCTCTTTTGCTTATATGCTGCTTTACAATTTACAGAGTATTTTTTCATATATTGTCTGACTTGACCTTCACAACAACCCTGCAAGTGAATAGAGGAGGCATTTACTAACACAACCCTGGTTTTACAGATGAGGAATCTGAAGATCAGAAGGTTTCCTAGCTCAAGTTCCCAGCACTGGGAAGTGTCAGAACCAGCATTAGGACCCAGGGTCATCTGAATTGGAGTCACTAAGTGCTCTGGCCACTGCCTTCATGAAGCCTTTCCTGATCATCCCATGTGGCCATGGACTTTTCTTCCTTCACGTGTCCATGCACCTGTTTCGTGGAGTGCATCATTCCACTTTGAGGTGATTGTATGCACTTCTCATTCAAATGAGTGCTCCTTGAGGGCAAGAACCATATCCTATTTTTCTTTCAACCTCCAAAGCTTCTAGAATAGTGAGTACTGAGCTTACAGAAGGTAACCAATAATATTGGTGGAATTGGGGGCCGGGCGTGGTGGCTCACGCCTGTAACGCTAGCACTCGGGGATGCCGAGGCGGGTGGATCATTTGAGCTCAGGGGTTTGAGACTAGCCTGAGCAAGAGTGAGACCCCGTCTCTACTAAAAAAAAAATAGAAAGAAATTAGCTGGACAACTGAAAACATATAGAAAAAATTAGCCGGGCATGGTGGTGCATGCCTGTAGTCCCAGCTACTGGGGAGGCTGAGGCAGGAGGATCGCTTGAGCCCAGGAGTTTGAGGTTGCTGTGAGCTGGGCTGACGCCACAGCACTCTATCCACGCAACAGAGTGAGACTCTGTCTCAAAAAAAAATTTATGGAATTGAATTGATCTTTACCTGCCAACTTGTTCACAGAGTTTATCTACCATGATCAGCTTCATCTCCTTCCCATCAGAATGGCTGGTTTCATAGCACCAGATTTTCGTGTATGCTCTAACATGTCTCAAAACCCTCCAGAAAGACTGAACTCAGGTAATCAGTGAACTGGATAAGACACTCTGAACCCTTGTTACTCTAAGTAGAGGTCATCGAGGTCCTCAAAAATGCACTTAAATTGCTCCACTTCTCTAGTTTGTTTGGTAGTATAGGTCAGAACTGAGCCTCCTTGCCTCAGTGTTTGAATGGGGGCTTGCTGGGACAGAAAAACGTCTTCTCATCAATTACAAGATCATGACCCTTATTTTGCTAAAACCCCAGATGAAATTTCCTCAGTTTTCAGCAAAAATGTAAGAATGGTGCAGTTTCTGCCCCAGAGATCTTTTCCCAAGTGTTCAACATGCTGTAATACCTTTCCTAAACCCTAACTCTGCTAATTCAATGAACTAGAGGAGAATATACTTACTTGGGGTGGGAGGTGGCTATTGTAGAAAACTCATTGTCCCACATTGGTCTCCCAAAGGAGGTTTTCTGTTTCAGACCTGTCACAATGTCAGTGGCCTTGTCAAAGTTTAATGCTGCATGACCGGCCTGGGGTCAGAGAAATAAAAGTTAGAAAAAGCAAGTCCTGATAGCTGCCTCTTCTTTCAGCCACATTTAAACTTGGGTCTGAGGGTGAGGGCAGGTAGGAAATCATAACGAGTAATTATTTCTAATTGGCATGTACTCTCCTTTGTCTGACATTCATCTTACATTTAACATGAGAATTAGTGTGTTGTTTGAACTCACAATGTTGCTGTCCCATCCGGTGAGGAAGAGACGGTAGTTTAGAAAACCTACTTTGCCTAATTCCTCCATCTCTTGTTCCAGGGAGGTCAGTAGGTCATTGAACCAGGAGAAGGCACCAGTCTCCCTGCAGATCCAGTAGAAATAGATCTGAAATTAGCAAGAGACAACATAGCCTTATTAAGTGCCCTTTACAATGTACACTGTGGTGATATGAATATATACAGATGGTCCCCAACTTAAAATGGTTTGACTTACAATTTTTTGACTTTATGATGGTGCAAAAGAGATACACATTCAGAAGAGACCATTCTTGAAGTGACCATACAACCATCCTGTTTTTCTCCTTCAGCACAGTATTCAATAAATTACATGAGATATTCAACACTCTTTTGTAAAATAGGCTCTGTGTTAGATAATTCTGCCCAACTGTAGGCTAAAGCAAGTGTTCTGAGCACATTTAAGGTAGGCTGGGCTAAGCTATGATGCTCAGTAGGTTGGGTGTATTCAATGCATTTTTTACTTATGATATTTTCAAATATATGTACACATATACCCACATACTTACATACTCTATATTGATCAATTCTAATGGCGACCTGATAAATCACCTTTACAGAGCAGCAAACCTTAGGCAGCATGAATGTTCAGAGTTCTGATACTTTCCCTTGTGGAAAGAGCCCTCCAAGGTCATTTTTGGGTCAGGGTGATTCTAAACTACAAATTGAAAAGAAGACCCCACTTTCATGGTGAATCTGTACAAGTGGATGCCTGGTAAAGAGAAGTGATCACTGACTCTCATAATTCCAGGAAGAGATAACTCTCGTATCAATTATAAAGAGCTTGGCCCAAGAAGGCAATAGATCTGTCAGGCCCATGCAGATGAAAAGTGGTGTACAGGAGTGTACCTTTTGTGTTTTGAGGTCATGGTCTGCACGCTGGAATTTATACCAGATAGATTTCAAGATGGAAGCAAAGGGGGTGACCCCAATTCCTGCTCCAACCAGCATAGCCACTTCATACTGGAAAACATCCTCACTGACTGTGCCAAAGGGACCATCCACCTCAACCCTGGCAGAAGACAGAAGACAACAAGCAAGTGAAGTCTCACCTTCACCTCTAACTGCAAATATCCTCCCAGATACACAGCTGTTCCCATGGCTGACTTCTGCCTATTTATTTTACTTTTCATTTTTTAAATTTTTTTTACTTAAAAAATTATTTTAATAGCGTCATCCTTGCACAGGGGTCATACTAATCTTCTCTGTACTGTCCCAATTTTAGTATATGTGCTGCCGAAGCGAACACCTGCCTGTTTGTTTTAATCCTATTCTATTGTACCAGACTTAAGGTTCAATGAGGAATTGCTTTCTCTTTTCTGCCAGTCTGCATCCTGGTCTGGGTCTCTGCTGGTCTCGAGGACTTACCTGGGAATTGATGAATCCTGTTGTTCAAAAGCCCTTATGAGATTTTCTGTCCAGTCCCCTGCTGCTCGGATATGAATGGAGAAGAAGTCTTCCTCTGGAGCAGAGGTCAGAGTGAAAGGATGCCACTCCAGGAGAGAGATGGAGGGGCAATTAACAAAGATATATTGTCCCACTTCCATGCTGAAGCCGCGCTTTTTCATCTGCAATTCCAAAACTTTGGAGGGGTGCATGACAACCTGTGAATGAAGCATATAGACCAAAGGAGGCAAACTCAGATGGCAACAGGCAGGCAGATAGCATAGATGAGTAAAGCTGCAAGGCTGGTGAGGTGGTGAACTGTGAACACAAGTCCTTTCTAAAGGGGGCAGCAACTACTTAGCTCCAGACAACGGTTGCAATATGGAATCGTGACTCGTGTTATCAGGTTTCCTGATTCTTCAAAAGAAGCAATAATTGCCTTTTTTTTTTTAATATGAAAGCCTCCATCCAGATTTTTAAATGTTGGCAACTAATTCAACTTTTGAACAAACACTGTGTGGGCCAAACAAAATCTATCCCTGGGCTAGATCTGGCCCAGGCCACCTGTTTGCAGCCTCTGACATAGACCCATCCTGATGATTTCTGCCAAGCCCCTCTTTCCCAGTTCCGTGCAGCACTAGAGGAACTGAGGTATGCCACCCCCCACCCCCACCCCCAAGTTTCTTTGTATTCCCTTCAGGGTGATAACTTGGCAATTTAATTCTATAATCAGGTAGAAGAGAACTCTTAACACAGCAAGAGGAAAGTGCAAATTCTTTACCTTGGTTATCACAACCTTCTGCTGGGAGCGATAAAACCGGAGGATCCTTTCAAAGATATAAAGAATGACTGGGGCAAGGATCCACTTCCAAGACTGCACAGAGACAGAGTAAAGAATAAGATTACACATTAATCTCTTCTTTAGGACTTATTTGTGTAGCAGTTCATTCCTTTATGTAATAAATATTTATTGAGTTCTCCGACATGTACCCATTTTTAAGCCACTAATTTCACCAAATCTTGAGAACAGAAATGGAAAGGAATAAACTACAATGGTTTTGTTTGCTAACCTGTTACTCCTAAAACAGGCCATTTCCTGAAAATTCACAGGTCTGACAGGGAAGCAAATGAAAAGCATAAAAACAGAATACATGGTAACCATTTATATTCTTAAATTATATATAAAATTTAATTTTGTGCTCACTTCGGCAGCACATATACTAAAATTGGAACGATATGGAGAAGATTAGCATGGCCCCTGCGCAAGGATGACACGCAAATTCGCGAAGGGTTCCACAGTTAAAAAAATTTAATTTTAAGAATCTAAGACTGGCCGGGCACGGTGGCTCACGCCTGTAATCCTAGCTCTCTGGGAGGCCGAGGCAGGTGGATTGTTTGAGCTCAGGAGTTCGAGACCAGCCTGAGCAAGAGCGAGACCCCGTCTCTACCAAAAATAGAAAGAAATTAATTGGACAGCTAAAAATATATAGAAAAAAAAATTAGCCGGGCATGGTGGCGCATGCCTGTAGTCCCAGCTACTCGGGAGGCTGAGGCAGGAGGATCGCTTTTGAGCCCAGGAGTTTGAGGTTGCTGTGAGCTAGGCTGACGCCACAGCACTCTAGCCTGGGCAACATAGTGAAACTCTGTCTCAAAAAAAAAAAAAAAAAAGAATCTAAGACTATCTTCCAGGACAACTTGTCTAGTCCGAAAAACCAATAGAGAAAGTAGATGTGAAATAGAAGCAGATGTTTAAAAACAAAACAAACACAAAAAAGGAAAAGTGCATGGCTAATGCTATTGTTAACAACAATATACAAAACTTGGTACTTATCCACCACCTCTTTTCTCAAGTGCTCAAACACTCAACATAGTAATGTATTTTTTTTTACCTTGTCTACATTGTTTTCTTTTTTAAAAGCAACCTTTCAGGCCCTGATATCTTCTTAAGGTAGCAGGTTGCTTCTATATACACAGGAGCTACTAAAAATGTACTTCCTAGCAATACTAAATCATATCCTTTCTTGCACAATTGTTCAAGTGTAATACATTGGAACTGTGTTGAATGAGGTTTCTTATGCTATTGCAGGCAAATAGCTTCCGTGGGTATCTCTGGGGAGGGAAGGGGCAGAGATGGGGCAAGTGAAATTTTTTCTTATTTGCAAAAAAATCCCCAGCTGGATTTGGAATACATGAAAAAACATATTTAAGAAATGGGTAATAACAATGTGGAAAAAAGATAGACCTCGGACATACTCAGAGTAATAAATATTAAAACAAGATAACATTTTAGTCTCTCAAATTGGAAAATAATTTTAAGTAATAATGCACAGCATTGGCCAGTCGTCATGGCTCACGCCTGTAATCCTAACACTCTGGGAGGCCGAGGTGGGAGGATTGCTTGAGGTCAGGAGTTCGAGGCCAGTCTGAGCAAGAGGAAGACCCCCACCTCTACTAAAAAAATTTTTTTAAAAATTAGCCGAGCAACTAAAAATAGAAAAAATTAGCTGGGCGTGATGGCACATGCCTGCAGCCCCAGCTATTCGGGAGGCTGAGGCAGAAAGATCGCTTGAGCCCAGGAGTTTGAGGTTGCTGTGAGCTAGGCTGACACCACGGCATTCTTCTCAGGGCAGCAAGAGAGACTCCGTCTCAACATAAACAAACAAGGCAACTGAGCACTCCTTCTGACTACCCCCCACCCCTTAATATTAAAAAAAAAGGAAATTAGGAAATTAGTTCACAGTTTGTGAATTGTAAATACTTTTCCTACTTAGCAATTTGTTATCTGTCTGTATTTATGATGGAGTTTTTATTTAT